GGGTTTTAGGTTGGCAGTATGAGACTCAAAATTTCTTTGACTCTAAGCTCTGGGGCTTGGCTGGACTTGGAGGGCAGAAAGAGGGGTGCATGTCCAAGATAAGTGTGTGGGTGGTTAGGCCTGAGTGGGGTGGCACGAGATGGAGGGCTCAGGAATGCTTGCATCCAGGGTTTGGGAAGTTGAGGGTGTTAGAGATCTAGAAGGTGGAATAAGTTTCAAAATTTCAGGATTTGGGATGTTTGATAGGGATGGCTGAGAGGTCCAGCTGAAAGGCGGGGACTGTTGGGATGTTAAGGATGGAGGGTAGGGATTTGAGTTTAGAATGCAGAACATGTTAGGGGACTGGAGTGATGATCACAGGGGGGGTGTCAGAGACAAAATTCTGGGTTGTGGGCTCTGTGATCTGGAGAGGGGGCTGGGCTGAGGTACGGCTGGCATTGGACTGGTGTTGGACTGGCTCTAGGTAGGGCTAGGGTTGGGGCTGTGGTTGGGGCTGGGGTTGGGACCGGGCCGTACTCTAATTGGATTGGGGCTGGGCTAGGCTGGGCTGGGCTGACCCCGCGCACCTTTGTGGAGGCCGGTGAGCCGGTCCTTCAGCACCGTCAGCTCGTAGATGCGGCCGAACTCCTCGAACAGCGGCTTGAGGTCCTGCTCGTCCAAGCCCCGCGGGATCTGCCCCACGAAGAGCTTGATGGCGTCGTGGTCCTTCATGGGTACGGCGGGACCCGGGTTTAGCCCGCTCATGCCGATGCCGCTGTCCGCGGTGCTGAAACCCAGGCGCGGGCTGGGGCCGGCGGGCGGCGCAGACCCTCCGGGCGCCGCGGCCATATCCCCGCCCAGTCTGCCCTCCNCTGGACGCTGGGGTCTTGCTTGAGGTCCCCGCGCAGCGCTCTCTGGGCTCCCGCCCGAGCTCTCCCGAAGCCCAGCCCCGAGCCCCAGCCCCGGTGCTTGCTGACGTCAGGGAGCTGGCCGCCGAGTCTACGCAAATAATTTGCATAATGAGAAAGCAGCGGCCAATCAGAGTAGGAGTTGACCGCGTTCGTCCGGGGGCGGGAGGGGCGGCTGGGCTCACGCGCTCCTGCTCGCCATGGCAACCAGACCCTCGGCTGCCCTGTGTGTGTTGAGCGTGTGCGGGCGTGGCTGTGGATGGCGCGTGTGCGCCTCGGACCGCGTGAGGGGAAGTAGCTTCGTCATGCGTGGTGCCGTCTGCGGGAGTCGGAGCTAATCCCCTGCTCACATACAGGGACACACAGGCACACGCAGGCACACACACCTCCAATCGCTGGAGCGTTTCCTGCGGGGATGGATGGGGATTCCTCTTCTCCATTCTCACTACCAAAGCCAGTCCCTCGGAGCCTATCTCACCCCGCCTCATTATACATTTCTCTTCGGTGTCTAAAACCAGTTCCTTACCCCTGAGCCTCAAACACGTTTGTCTCCCCCGCATCCTACCAGAGATAAAAAGAAGGAATAAAACAAATAAAAACCCCAAACACTCCTTGAACACTGATTCCTCCTCAGGGGAGGGAGGGAACTTATATTAGCCATATTTACTCAGCACCCATTATGCATCAGGTGCCTGGTTCATCCCAGTTCTGGGAGCTCAGGCGTGTTATTCTCCTTTTCCAGAAAAGGAGGCTGAGGTTCTGAGGGTCCAGAAGGTTAGGGCCAGGCCCACCCCTAACATTTGCTGGGTCCAGGGCAAGTGAAGAAACAGCAATGGACATGCCGTGTGTCTAAATATTTAAAAATATATAAATCAAGTTACAATTTGCTAAAATATTTTTTACCTCTTATTTTCACAAATACATGTTCATAATAAGAACAAAAATGAAAAATCTATGTAAATCTCTGTTTTTTATATGACTGAAAGTTGGCAAAATATCAGAGCTGATGGAATTTATTACTCTTGCACATGTCTAGGTATTCTCTTGATGGGTTAGTAATATTTGGGCAGAGCAGTAATGGAATAATGATAAATAATTCATAAATTATGTACTCGTTCCATACCATTTTTTTTTTTTTTTGCCTCTTTCAGTAAAATTAGAAGAGATTTTAACACAATGTGTGTCCAGTGACTATTCTGAGAAACTGCTCAAAAGCAGCAGTAGGAACTGGAATCATCAAAAATTCTTCAAGCAATTTTCAAATTCAGAAACAAATTATGATTTTTTGTTCTTTTTGGCGAATTCTAAAATCATAATTTTTAAAAATTATTTTTCTTCCTTAATAAAAAGTTACTCCTCATAATCAGCTGATTATAAAATGAGTTACCAAAATATTTCACTTTCATTCAGTTCTATGTGTTTTTATTTCCTTGAGACTTTGTCTTTGACCCATGGGTTATTTACAGATATACTGTTTGGTTTCCAAATGTTTGGAGATTTCCTGTTATCTTTCTGCTATTGATTTCTAGTGTGAACACATGGTGGTCAGAACACACTGTGTATAATTTCAATTCTTTTAATTTGTTGTGGTTTGTTTTGTTACCCTCAGAATATGGTCTATCTTGGTTATTGTTTTGTTGATGCTTGAAAAGAAGGTGTATTCTGCTGTTGTTGAGTGAAGTGTTCTATAAATGCCAATTACATCCTGTTGGTTGATGGCATTGTTGAGTTCTATATTCTTGATGTTTTTATGTCTGGTTGTTTTCTCAGTTGTTGAGGAGGGGTGTTGAAGTCTCCAACTGTAATTGTGAATTTGTCTTTTTCTCCTTTCAGTTCTATTAGTTTTTGCCTCACATATTTTGAAGCTCTGTTATTTGGGCAATATACATTTTAAATTGTGATGTCTTTTTGATGAATTGACTGTTTTACCACTATGTAACATCACTCTCTCTGTTCTTTTTTTTTTTTTTTTTTTTTTTTCAACCCTCAGTGTTGCCCCCGCACCGGACCGGGGACGGCAACGGGATTGCAACCCTTGGTGTTGCTCCCGCGCCTCGCTCAGCCAGTGAGCGGGAACCGGTCTGTATGTGGGATCCGAACCCTCGGGCGGGAGCGCCGCCACGCTTCCCAAGCAGCGCACTATCCAGTGCGCCACCGGGCCGGCCCACTCTCTCTGTTCTTGGTAAACTTCTTGCTCTTAGCACTACCTTACCTGATATTAATATAGCCACTTATGCTTTTTTTTTTTTTTGACTAATGTTTGCAGTATATATCTTTTTCTATCCTTTTACTTTCCACCTACTTGTATAGTTATATTTCAAGTGAGTTTCTTATAGGCAGCATATAGTTGGGTCATTTTAAAAATTCACTCTACCAATCTTTGTCTTTGGTATATTTAGACCATTTACATGTTATGCAATCATTGATATGCTAGGGCTTAAGTCTGCCCTTAAATTTTTGTTTTTGTTTTTTTTATTCCCTCTGTTCTTCATTTCTGATTTTTTTCCCTTGCCTTCCTGTGGGTAACTTGTTCCTCGTCCTAGGTACATTATACATACATAGTTTATTATGGTCTACTGGTATCAAATTTTATCTGTTCAATGGACATGTACAAACCCTACCTACCTCTCAGTCCATTTAGCCTCCCCCATTTATAATATAATTGTCTTCAATATTTCCTCTACGTACTTTGAGAAACACATCAGACAATGTTACTCAAACACCACTTAGAAAACCCTAGAGGAGCAGTAAAGTCTACTGTATTTACCCATATTTTTCTTCTTTCCATCTTCTTTCCTTCTTTCTGATAGTCCAAGATTCTTTCTTTTACCATTTCCTTTACATTTTAAGAACTTCCTTTAACAATTAGAGTAGTTTTGTTGGTGATAGTTTCTCTTAGTTTTCCTTCATCTGAAAATGTCTTGATTCCCCCTTTATTTCTTTCTCTTTTTTTTTTCCTTTTTGTCTTTTTACGTGACTGGCAATGGGATCGCAACCCTCAGTGTCGCGCCCGCACCATGCTCAACCAGTGAGCGGACCGGTCTCTATATGGGATCCGAACCCTCAGTGGGAGCGCCACCGCGCTCCCAAGCGCCGCACTCTACCGAGTGCGCCACTGGGCCGGCCTGATTCCCCCTTTATTTCTAAAAGACATTGGATGTTGAATTTTGGTTTGACAGTTCTTTTCTATTGCTCTGGAAAAATGTGCCACTTCTTTCTGGTTTCAATAGTCTCTGGTGAAGGGCTGGCCCGTGGTCACTAGGGAGAGTGTGTGGCTGATAACACCAAGGCCACGGGTTGGATCCCATATAGGGAGCGTGGTGCTAACAACACCAAGTCAAGGGTTAAGATCCCCTTATCGGTCATCTTAAAAAAAAAAAAGTCTCTGGTGAGAAATCTGCTGTCATTCACATTATTTTTCTCTTGTAGGCAAGGTATCTTTTTCTCGATTCTATCTTTGTCTTTAGTTTTTGGAAGTTTGACTATTATGTTTCCTGATGTGAATTTCCTGGGCTTTATCCTGTTTGGGGTTCACTCTGCCTTTTTTTTTTTCTTTTTTCTCTCTCAAGTAGCCTTCATTATATCCATTGAGTAGTCCTTTTATATTTAGTCCTTCAAGTATCTATATTACGATATTTAAATCTCATGATCAAAACAACTAAGAAAGCTGTCTTGTTACAATTGTTTTACATTCCTTATCACCAGGACCTCTGCTAAGAAATACTAAAAGGAAAAATTCAGCTCAATAACTAGTTGCAACAGTTCTTAATGTGTGCTACTAGGGGAAGTCTCTAGGCCAAAATTATTGTAATCAAATAAACAGTTCTTCTGAACATCAGCAACAGATCCAGGGTCATGAACCAGTCGAGAAATCCACTGTGATGTTGATAGTATTAAGGATTGTGTTGCACTGACAGTAATTTGTGAGAATAAGTACTCAACCTGTCTGTTCTCCAGACTTGTGATACCTCGTGTAAGAGCTTCATCTGTTCTACCTTCACCTCATTGCCTGTCTCTAGTGTGGAGGATCATTGTGTACTTATCCATGGCAGGCTTTGGCTGGGATATTTTCATTCTATGGAGTTCGACCCTGAGTCTGGGGTCATCATCTTTGCCTCCCCACCCCCAGTAGTTGTTAGAGAATCTGTTCACCTTGAAAAATTGCTCTCTGCTTAGGGCAGTAATGCCCCCAAAACATCCATCGTAACATAACCCAGTGCTGTTCCTGCCAACCAACAGATGCTTGTGCTAATCTTCACACTTGTAAAGGTTAAAGTCATTCTCAGGCAGCAGGTCTACACTGTGTAATACAAAGCAGTCCCAGTTTTCTTCCTTCAGAGCTTCCAGATAGCCCACAATCAAGAGTTTGGCTCAATTAAACTTTAATTGTTTAATTATTTCCAGCCTGGTAGAAGATGAAGCTGCCATACTCCAGCTGCTGCCTCTGCAAGAAAGAATGAAGATGTTCTAGCAAGTACATCAGGTGTTTCTCTCTGTTCTGTTGGGGAATGAGGATGGTGACCCACTGTGAAGCATTACATTCCTCTGGGTGATACTGGCCTCAACACATTTTGGGATTTTCTGCCTGTCATTCTCCCAAAGTGAGATCTGGTTTGAAAATGAGCTTGTTCTGGCCTCTGAGGTATGGAGACACAGAAGGGCAGCTGTCAAGTTCTGTATTTTTCATGGATGCTTCATTAGTCAGAGCTTCTTCTTTCCCCAAAGCTATGACCTTATTGAAAGTAGCCATGAAATCCTTTGCTTTAGGAATCTCTTGAATAGCACCCACAAAGTAGTTACTGTTGTCCCACCCAACCACAATAAGGCATAAAGTAAAAAGCAACAGTAACCGGAATTTGTAGGAGAGATGGAAAGTCAGGTTGGAGCCCATGTCTTTTATTATGTGAATATTTATTTCTTTGCTTTGCTGCAGGCAAGGAA